ACCCACAAGGAAAACTTAATCACATGGACCCTGAGGGAAAAGTGCTTCATATCTAAAAAGTGGGTGAAAGGATCAAATCTTGTAAACCCGTATTTAAGGCCGTGTTTCCGCAGCACTTATAATTTCTGCCATAATTTTCTCTAATTAGTAATAAATTATCTTAAAATTCCCTCCAAATATTTTATTCCATCATGCAACATTATGGACAACAGTGCAATGTGTTCAACATCGTAACATTCATTTTGTTGACATGCAGTTTACCCTTTTTTTGTGTGAGGCCAATAACGAAATCATTCAGTACTATGTTATTTCATTCTGGGAAATAATACTGTCACAATGATGTTTTATTGTACTTCTATATAGAAGTTTTATATAGAAATTCAAGATTTCAAGATTTCATTTATTGTTCAAAAATTGAAATACTAGGCGGCAAACATTTCATTGCAAGGTTACAAAAATATAAGACATATAAAAATGCATAAATAATAACATACTGTATGATTAGAACCCGTATTTAGAAACAATATATATGACAAGGAAATTAGAATTAATTAATACAGTACAGTGAGTTGTATTGCTGTACTAATGTACAAATGGAGAAAAAGAGGAAAATGAATGCAGCTTTGTTTGGTGTGCTTTACAGTACAATAAACGATACAGTAGGTAGGGATTAGACCTTAGACCTAGGCCCAGCTAGGCACTGTCGACGTCGAGCTCAGCCATTTCAGGTTTCCGTTTATTATTATAATATTATTATATAATATTATTCAATAAGCATGACATATCCTACTTATATTAATTTTAAAGTGTTTGATCCTAAGCATACAGTAGGCCACTATGAATAGTTCCCGTAAAAACTAACTCTCAAAAATAATTCTTTGCATGGCTGTTTGACATCGGTCAAAGGTCACTTTAGTGGAGATGTGCGCTTAATAAATCTTATTATTATTATTATTATTATTATTATTTTATTTTCGCATTCTGAGCTTTTTTTTTTTAAATTATCTGATTTCTCATACGAAGGCTTATTGAAAACGTTGGGCTCCATTTCCGCAGCAAAAATTAGCAAAGTGGCTGCTTTCCAAAAATTTATCGGATAATATGTTATAAATACAGTCAGAATTGGCAACTCTATTATTACTCCATCGTCAGAGGTTCGCAATGTTGGTATTACACAGGATTCCACCTTGTCACTGAAGAAACATGTCCTTAATATATGCAGAACAGTTTCTTATCAAATTTGCAGCATCAAACATGTCACTGGGGTTACTTAAAGATGCCACCGCAAAAGTGATCCATGCACTTGTCACATCAAAACTCAACTACTGTAATGGAGTTTTTTTATGGACTACCCAATTCTGTAACTAGGAAACTACAACTCCAGCTTAATGTCGCTGCTCGTCTTGTTGGTGGTACATCTAGATCCCTACACATCACTCCTACTCTTCGTCTTCTCCACTGGCTACCCATCAAACAGCGCATCGAGTTCAAGATTTTACTTTTTGTTTATAAATCTCTCCATCATTCCACATATAAATATATATCTGACCTTATTCAATTTACGTTCGGCTACTTGTTCACGCACTCTGAGATCCACAACCAGTTCATCTATACCCTACTGTCCACCCTGCCATTTAATATCTTTTGGCAAGCGTTCATTTAGTGTCGTGGCCCCAAAGCTTTGGTACGCTTTACCTGACACCGTTCGCGAGTCTCCATCTATCTTCGTGTTTAAGACGAGGCTTAAGACCCACCTGTTTTGCTCTTTTTAATTTGTTTTCCTTTTCTGCCCTTTTTTTCGGATAGGATAGTCAGATGCCAGTGTCACTATAGCTTTTGTGAATCATATTCCAGCGAGCCCTATTCATTTGGGCCTCAAACTGCTGGAGAACAGCAGTGAGACTGGTTCCTTCTGCTGTCTTCTCTTTGTCTCTGTGGTTGTTTGCTTTTGTTAGTTTTAGGATATTATTCGGTTATTTACTTCTGCTTCCAAGACTTTGCATTTCAAGCGCATAGAGACTATTGTAATATGCGCTTAATAAATATACAGCCATACCACCTAAGGAAAGCAGTCTGATTTAATGGGGAACACAATGAACTCAGTGAATAAACACTGTTTAGGGTTTTCCCATCGGCTTAAAAGATTGCACGGACCTTATATTCTATTTATTGTTTATATCCTGATTCCATAATTTTTATTTTTTATTATTCATAAATGACAATAAACATGCAAAAAAAATGTATTTCTTTCGGAATACTAGAAAATATTATAATTAAAAAAACAAACAAATAAAGATGCATCTAGCAAGCTGCATAGTACAAACAATCAACATTTTTTTTTCTACATTTGCATCTACTGTAGTTCAAAAGCAGTAGGCAAAGCCCACCTGACTATTGACCTTCGACCTGATGGTGAATACTAAAACTGAGGTTGAAACAAGCAAAGAAAGGCGATATGGAGGACAGAAAAAAATGTAGAATTTTATATCTTCCCAAATTCATATCTTGAGAAACATTTTAAGAGTATTTGAAAACAATTGAGACAGGTATGTGTACAGACTCTTCCTATTCATGTGATACTGCAGTGTTTTGGGGTATAAGCCCGCCTCTTCTATGCCTGCTCTTACTCTATAGGTAATTACATCTGATTTTATGTATTAATGTCTCCCCCCCCCCCCCCTTCCCCCAATCACAATCAACAGTCCAGAATTTGAACAAGAAGCTCAGTTGATTTTTTACAAATACTCTCAGGTAAAAAAAGATCTTGCCTTTGATTTGTTCATGCAGTGTTGAAAATTCGCCTTTTAAATGCCCTTCCCTATAAAGATGAAACAGTTTTTATGTGAATAGAGGATTCCTCAAATACCTTTCAATATATTGACCAGGGGTGTGACTAGAGATGATATGGGAAAGCCCAACAACACATCAAGTGGTCATCTCTAAGCCTCTGGTCAATATCAATACAAAATACAACAATAAAATGTATAATAGGACGGTGGTATTTATGCAGGTTGTTGGTTTTTTAGTGTTTTAATGGGAAAAGCATAGAGACCTTGTTTATTTGTACTACTGTATATAGGTCTACCTGTAAATATCACTATATGCAAATCCAAAAAAAAAAGAATCATTTCAGATAGAATATAAATTTAATAACAACAACAGTATTTTAATTGATTAGATGAATAAACCGATATGTCTTTATTTACATGTTATAGTATGCAATAATCGATTTTTCCTGCTCTTCCAGCAAAAGACACAAGCGTCAACTTCAGAAGTTTTACACCAAAAGCAGAAAAATTTTGTTGCAGCGAAATCTATAGCGAGTAGAAGCAGGGACTCACTGATTTCATATGGACCAATTAAAAGCCAGCAAGCCAAGCAGAGTACCTAGTCCACATATGTCAGAATGAATGAGTCTTATTTCAATAGCGCCCTCTATGATAGTGTCTGGAGTGCAGTTGAAACATTGAATAGTAAGTAAAGCAGTAATAGAGCATCTTTTTTCTATTATATAATTTTTTTATTTTGATGGACAAATTGAAAAAGCATCACAAAAAACAAACAATATCTTTGAATGGCATAGTAATTACTACTATAGGCCCTACATGCTTCAAACTCAATTCTAATTGTGAATATTTCAGTAGTCATCACAAAAACCAGCAGCCGTAACCAACAAATGAAAATTGAGTTTTGAATATATTCTGATTCTTTACATCGTAAGCTTTAAAATGATGGCTCATTACTGGAACTGATTTACTTTTGCCAAAGTTATGAGTAAAAGTATTACAGCTTTCCTGTACAAAGTATGTACAGTAGAGTACTGACATATACATTGTTATTACTCAGTTTAACATACAGCGACGGTAACGCTTGGTTTGGGATGGCATCCCTCATATATTATATTTATTGTTAATTTAAATATAATTTAAGTATTTTATGCACTGTATTTATGTCTTTCAGGTAATTATTTAATTTATATGTATATAATGTGTATTCCCAACCCATGAAAACAAATTTCATGTACTGTACTTGTATATTTGTCAATAAATGGAATGGAATCTTGGTTCTTAAAGTTTAGGGTTTGAATCCCTCGCTGTGCATTTTGCTTGTGTCCTTGAATAAAGCACTTTATCTGCACAGTTGGTTTCTTTCCACCAGAAACAACATTCAAGCATGTGGACCCAGGGAATCAAAAGTGCTTTATATCTAAAATAAAACAAAATTGACAAATATTCTAAATTCATTATTAAAGGCAATGCAGTCATATTGATCAACACTGCGCAGCTAGGGTTTCTAATCAAAAGAGTATTTTGCATGCAACTTGCATTCCATTAATTGTTTGTTTATATATTGTGTGTTCATAATTTTTATTTTATTATTCATGGATGATAAACCATGCAAAAAAAAAAGTAGTTTTCTTTATATTAAAATACTAAAAATATTATAATGGCAAAACAGAGATAAATTATCCTTCGGAGTCTGGCTTTAACATACTGGTAATCAGCTTTGTTTAACATCATCATTTTTTAATACCAGAAATACCAGTATCATTATTATCATTATTATTTTATATAACATCATATCAGTACAGATCAGCAAATGTTTAATTTAATAGTTAGATTGATGATAATAATAATAATAATAATAATAATAATAATAATAATAATAATAATAATAATAATAATAATAATATACTGTAATGCTAAAGATTTATATAGTGTCAATTCCAAATCAATGATCAAAGGCGCTGTGCACTTTTTTGATTTCATTCATTTTTTAATTAGAAACTCGCTATTCAACATCAATGATGAAAGATACGACCAGCATTGGAAGAGCTGCAGTCCTGTGATGATCCAAATGGGCAACAGTTGGCTGGCTGTAAATGTCATTTAGTCTTTAAGTGGACAGATGAAAAATTTGAAAAAGTCAACTACTGCCGCTATAGTCATTTGGAAGGGTAAGCTATGGATTCTTAGCTAGTATGTTATTTTACAAGCTTACAGGTTTCATTGATCACTTTACTTTCAACAAAAATAAGGACTAGAAAGCTTGAAATGCTTACAAAGAAAAAGCAGTAAAACCAGAAACTGAAATAAAGTACATGAAAAAAAATTGAACTATATGATCTCCCTTAAGTGACTTATTCCAATTTAGGACACCTAAGTAGTCGTGAATGATAAACTCATTCAGCTGATGAAGTTTTGTTGACAACAAGACGAAATATTAGTTTACTATTTAAAAATAATTGGATTGAACTAAATCAGTCAAAAAAACTTATAAAATATAATTTATTGAACACAAAGCCTTTGTTATGCAACAAACTTCTTCAGGATGCTATTTATAATATGAAAATGTCTTAATCCTTGTATAGCGCATAGTGGTTCCAGGATTTCCAAGTTTAAGAATCATGATTTCTGCTTGTATGGCAATATGAAAGAAATGCTTATATTACTTATTATATTTTTTATTATTATTTATACAATTTTATCTTAAATAAAACATCGCACACAGTTTCTTTTGTATATATGCAACATTTTTCATATATTCTTAAAACTATTCTATTATACGCACACTCGTATTATACATTATTAGGCTATTAGGCGTTATATCTTATTATTATTATTATTATTATATCTTTTACGAACTCAAAAGCAACTGTCATACACTGCCAGGGGGTGTTGCCGTGGGTGTGTTTTTATCTTTAAATGCAATTCCTAGCATATTCTCAGCCTGTTCATATGCACTACTACTAAATCATTCAAGGCAAAATTCATATTCTTCAGAATCATCTAATTTTTTTTTTTTTTTGGCCTTTATAGCATTACTAAAAACTTTACACCCTTTCATATAAAGAAATCTTGGAAATCACATGTATATATGAAACATGTAGGATACCGGCACCTTGACCTCTGAAGATTAGAGCCTAAAAGTTTTTCACAAAAACGTGATGCAATATTGACAAAATGATTGTTTATTTTTGGTAAATATTTCAGCTGCTCTGAGTTTTTTCCCTATTCTTCTTTCTTCATGCTTCTTCCATATTTACGTTAAATCTAATTTATTTTACTATTAATAAATATTGACACATAATGTTTAAGTAAAAAATATGATTATATGTCATCCAATACAATATTACATCATAGGGAATAAATTCATTCTGGATTCAGTAAATTTTTTGTGAATTTTCTTTCCTTTAGTTAATCCGTGTCAATTTTTTATAAGTAAATGTTGTTTTTACTTACAGACTTGACATGGATTAACTATAAGGAAAGAAAATTCACAAATACATTATTACATATTTTAACTGGACTCTAGAACTAGGCCTGTGTATGCATTGTGTCTATTTAAGATATCTCAATCTTTGTCAATCTAAAGTTGAAGGTATGTCCTGGTCCCGACCCTTTAATGTCACTACTGGATAGGCTT